TAAAAATTGTTTCACTAATAAATAGCTACATTATTACTAACATGGGCTATATTTATTAAAAATATATTTCGCACGGACATAGACGCGAGCAACAGCTAGTGTTCTATAAATTTTAATATAAAATTGAGGCAAAATAAAGCCAGCTGTACATCTATAAACGCATCTCTTGTTTCCGTTTTTAGGAAATGAAAGCGCTTGAACATCACTTATTAAACGATTCCAGTAAAAGACACTTGTAATATTGAGCAAAACGAGGTTCATTTACTTCGCACGCTCCTGTTCTACATTTCTGTTTTTGACCTACTGTCTTTCAAGACTCAACTTCCTAATAGCAACTTTGTGCAAGTGTCCCTACCGAGGAAAACACGGCCTAATTACTTTAAAACTAATTTACAAACAATTATGTGTTTAACCAGAAAAATATTACAGGGAAAAAAGTAAAAATCGTAGTTTTTCAATGAAAAATAATGGTCGTTTTCTTTTATTTTAGTGAACTGACGCTGCTGGAAGGCATGGCCAACTGCGGGGGATGGAGCGAGGAACCAGTATCAAAGGTAACGACAAAATGTTTCGACTTATAAGTTATGTTACTTATTTCTTACTGCTTAAAGACATTTACAAGATGCACTTTCGTTGCAAATTGACGCATTAATTGTTTTGTATAGTGTAAAAGCTGATCTTAGCTGTCAGTTTCCACCGCCAAAGCTATTCTACAACAACGTATTCTCATATTTCTCATTCTATTTGCAAAAAGTGAGACAAAATACGTAACGTATCGTTCGTTAATCTTTGAGTATCATACAATGACGTCATCAAATCGGAAATAACACATAATTTAATAGAACAATTTAAAGTAGCGTGTTGTAACGTAATACTGTCTCTTAAGACCTCGCAACAAAATCGAGAGCGTGCGACCGATTAATTAAGATCGTTGTACTGTTTCGTCAAAAATCCGACACAGATTGCGTAAAATTACACGGCATATTAAATAGAAAATGTAAAAGTAACCTTTAGGTATGTGTGATATAACCTTTAAAGTTTGCAGATGCCCTTAGTATCTCATCATTATATGTAAGGATCAACATACACGAACTGCTTTAAACTGATAAACACTGCCGTGACAATCTTACTGGAAAAAATACGAAAGTTTAGATGGATGGATGTTTGTAGCCTAGACGATTGAACCGATCTTTTTAAAATTTGGTATAAACGTTGAGGATAGCCTGGAAGAACACATAGGGTACGTTTTTTCTTAATGCCGACAGAGTTGCAGGTGTAAGGTAGTTCATACATGTTTGACTTTCATTTGCTTTGATAAAAACGATGCAATATGTATTAATTCAGTCTAAATCTACTGTATAGATCGACAAGGTTATTTGACCCGGTGAGCGTAATTCAAACTAAATTATACCAGCTCAGCAACGGCACCCTGTTAAAATTGTCATTAAATCATTGTTGTACGGTAGTTAGTTTGTCAGATTGTCTTTAATGTAATTTTTTTTATTTAATGAGGGCTTACACTGAAACAAAAGCGAAAGCAATGTTTCAGCGACCCAACTATCCTTATGACTATACAAAACTTTCTAACTTCTCTATAGAATATTTTTAAACAACCTCCAATTAGGATGATTTCCATTCGTCTGTATATTTTATTCATACTGTTTTACATTCTAATTCATTTTCAAGTACAAGTGTTGATTAAAAATGTTTATTATAGTGTACATTGTTAACAACAACCCGTAACACTGAACGTGTGGGAAATTCGCATCAATTTCAGACAGACAATCGAGTACACGATCATTATCATCCCTGTATACGAGTATATACAATCAAATTTAATTTTGACATCGAGGGTAAATTTTAATTTAACTTCCAGAAGTTTTTATTGTAAGAGACCTTTGCCACCAACTATACATCTATACTAATATTATAAAGAGGTAAAGTTTTGTATTTTAAAATTCTTGTATATTATAAAATAACTCAAGGACTATTGGGCCGATTTCAAAAATTCTTTCACCATTAAAAAGCTACGTTGTCGTTGAGTAACAGGCTGTATTTTTAAATTTTACGTGAATGAAGTCGCCAGCAACAGCTAGTAATGTCGACAATTTGCACGGTTTAGTAATTTCCCTTCGCGTTTGTAATATCCACTTGCACTTTTATAAGATTTTCTCAAGTACAAACATTGAAATTGAAATACGAAAACATCCTACTTCTTGAATGCGAAAGCTGGATGGATGGATGTTTGTTAGAGTTTGTAGCCTAAACTGCTGAACAGATATCGATGAGATTTGGCGTAGATGTAGATAATAGTCTGGAAGAATACATAGGCTACTTACTTTTGTGTTTTTTCATTCCACGCGGATGTCGTTACGGGGGAAAGCTAGTTTTAAATAAAAGTTCAATACAAAAAAATGAATATCAGATTGAATTAAGTGATAGTTTGTTCATTATAGAAGCTTTAGCTACTGTTTCAATTACACTATTATTATCATAAAACAGTAAAACCACTGGTTTTACACAACCCGTTACGTAACAAACTGGTTGTGTATAAACACGTATTAATTTCTAACCATGCGTTAAACCATCACAGTTGTAATAACACTCTTTGAAATACACGACTTATCATGGGTTGCTGAACTTTCCATTTATTTTATCACTAGCTGTTCCCGTGCGACATCCGCATGAAATTATGAAAATCATGTTTTATTGTTTACATGTGTCAAATTATCAATTGCAAATGTCAAAATGACATGACATGATACAAACCGTGGCCACCTTGCTTCCTTTATGTTGGCAACTTGTAGCTTACGGTCCCTTCACACAGTAAGGTTTTTTTCTAATTTATTTATCCCCGAAGTTTAGAAGCGTAAAAATATATAGCCTCAAGCGTGTCGTAAGTGTAGGGTTTTTTTTTAATTAATAGTAAGTAATTTATTTAATACTAGCTGTTGCCCGCGACTCCGTCCGCGTGGAATTAAAAAAAAAAGTGGGTAGCCTATGTGTTCTTCTAGACTGTCCTCTACATCTAGACCAAATTTCATCGAAATCCGTTCAGCCGTTTAGGCTACAAACTCTAACAAACATCCATCTATCTATCCATCCGTCCATCTAAACTTTCGCATTTATAATATTAGTATGATATGTTAATTGTTAATAAAAAGAAATATTGTAACTGTAGATGATAATCAAATTTCTCTTTAGCACAATAATAGTGTAACTCCAAACTATTATACCAGTCTCGCAGATCAGTAATGCAGAGCAGTGTGCTGTAGTTTTAAGGCGCAGACTATTTTGGTAGAGTTCGTTCAAACAATAGGAGTACTGCGTTGTCTACTGCTTTGCGTACTGTCCTCGTGTGAAATTAGCATTAGTTCTTTGGCGGGAATCATCATCTGTTACATCAAGTTGTTGATAACATCTTGAAGCGAAAATACAATAGGTGTTATTGCTGATGTACACAAAAAAGTAAACTTCTACGCGCTTTTGATAGGGCCAGTATAAAGTATAAGCGGAAGCGATTTACAAATATACGATCTTACTAATATTATAAAATCGAAAGTTTATATGGACGGATGTTTGTTAGAGTTTGTAGCCTAAACTGTTGAACGGATCTCGATGAAATTTTACACAAGTGTAAAGGATACTTAATTTCACGCGGACGGAGTCGCGGCCAAAAGCTAGTTTTATATAAACATGGGTTGCCAGTACTTGAATGCTTATACGAATATTGTCAATCTTATGTCTTTGTCGAGATAGAAATTAAAAAATTATCTCCACTTGTCATTATGGTGGACTAACGATCGAATACTTAAACAAATCTTAGACGCTAACAATCTAACAGACGTTATAATGTTAATGTAATTAAGTGTAGCCGAGCCTTAACATTTAACACGCTATTACCTATTGTAATAATGGTCTACGCGCGGACCCCGGGTTGGGAACCACGCGCAGATACAAAAAATGTTCAAATACCGGGTAACCGTCACAGAACAGCAAGCGGTTACCTGCTAAATTAGGCCGTCACTATCCGCAAGCAACCTAATTTAACTACACTACTTTGCATTCTGAGTAAAATTAGTCACAAGACAGCAAGCTAATATATTCAGAATCGCGTTGTAGGATCTAAAGTGGAGAAGACAGTAACTGATTTCCCTTTACTTCTCTCATTTGCGTAATGTACATGAAATGACTTAACATAAGGCGCATGCAATACCACATCGCGTTTTAAAATACAGGTGGCGCCATCTATTTTTGTACGTAGAACAACTGGTTGCAGGAAATGTTTGTTACACTATTACATATTACTTGCACGCGCTCATCTTAGATTAAACTACCTCACAACTGTTTAGTCGCGCTTTGATTCCTATGAGCTTCTATGGAGGTGCACTACTCGATTATTACTTGTGCAACTAAACAATTGAATTGGCCGCGAAACAATCGACTATCGCACGACCGTTGTGGGTTACTTTAGTCAAAATTCGTTTCATTATTTGGACGAGCTTAGTTATTGCCACTGATTGAGGTTCTAACACCAATGTTGGGAAGTTTATTGTTTACAATACTTGTTTCGGCAGTCGGAACTTAAGGCCACACATGTAAGGGAACAGCAAACGCTACGGTCTGTCGCACTTAATTATAGATGCGAGGGAGCATTCACCTCGTAAAAAATCTTTTGCTTTCTTCATTTTGTGTTTAATTGCAATCTTGTTAAATGATATGTTATAAGTTCTTTGTAATATACGCAATAATTATATCCATACTAGCTTTCGCTCGCAACTCCATTCGCGTGGAATTTAAAAAAAATTGAGTAGCCTATTTGTTCTTCCAGAATTTCCTATCCATCTATGCCAAATTTCATCTAGATCCGTTCTTCCGTTATGCTACAAACTTTAACAAACATCCATCCATCTAAACTTTCTCATTTATGATATTAGTATGATATCCTTAGTCTCCTAATTAAAATTTCTTAAAAATGACTAGTTTAATTTTTAAAGAAATCTCATTAACAGTGTTGTCATTATAATTAAAACGTTTAAAACCACGTTTCTAATTTAAATTAAAATTTCATGCTTCACTGATTTTAATACACAAAATACTATTGTCTAACATTTCACTTATTTCCCATACTAAAAACCAACTTTAACTTAAAAATGAATGATGTTCAAACTTTCTATAATTTCTAGTGTAACTAAAAGTCATCGTAATGAATATTTTAATAGCTGTTCCCGTGCGGCTTCATCCGCATGATGCCGCATTTCACGCATGACAAACTATTCACCCCCTAAATAAAACAACGCGAAAATAGTATATAGCATGAAAACCACTGGCTCGCAATCCATAAATGACACATGACACAATATTTTGGGCAAAATGATTAAAAAACACTACTAAAACGTATGTAGGTATTATATGTATAAAATGTTAACGCGATGTCAATACAATGCACCATAGAATTGACGCAATAAACAGTCAAAATTATACCATACATTAAACATTTCTCCAAAAAAAAACTTTGATGCAGAAAGGTTTACCACCCCTGTACTATAGCGTGTCGTAAGTATAAGGCTTTTTATTTAATTGAGAATTATTATATATATTTATATACTGTAATTTCTGACATCCTATAAGAAAGAAGTGTGTTAACACATTATTGTATTCATATAGACAGAAGTTTATATATGTTATGAGTGTATTACAATTCAAAAATAATAACATCGGAACTACAACCGTCACTGATTCATTATTGATAGGGTTCGACCCAATGACCGTATCGATAAGGCAGAGTGGCTCCCCTAAGCCTTCAAGGTCATTTCATGCTTCACGAACTAGGGTTAACTTGAACTTTATAGATCATTTTATTTACAACACTATGATGTAAAGAAGTACAGAGGTTTTAACGTCGTTACACCCTAGTGCAACTAGAAATATAAAGTAAATGAAGCAGAAACCATAACTGAAAACTTATTAATCAAAGTAATGGAATTCAGGAATTCTACGTTAGCTTGTAAATATTGTTAGAAGTATGTTTGTGCCGTACAAGACAGGAACGGGCTCTGTTCCCTGCTTGCACACAAGTTACCGCACATTTGCAGGCGGGCCCTCGCCCGATAGAACACAAGAGATCTTTCAGACCTACCCTCTTGTCCGGGATAACGAGCCTAACTATCAGCATTAACGAGCTAGTCATAACGCGAAATTTAGTCTCGCTTTGATTCCTACGAGCTTCTATAAAAGTGAACACAACATAATATTAACTTAACAGTTAAATTTGCTGCGAAACAAACGACAATCGCAAAACAGTCTTTCGATAGCTTAGTCAAAGATGTGCGCACGCTCTAAACCTACAGTTCGCACTTAATGTATTATAATCTATAAACATTGTTTGAATCGTAATATCTGTACTAAACTCTTGTTCTCTTCCAGGAGAAACAGCGTCCACCGATCTACAATCCAGAAGATTATGCCACATCTCTCAAGAAATGGGGGAAGAAAATTGGTACCGGGAGTCTATACGACCTGGACCCAGGCCAAGACCCGAATAAATCTAGAACGTTGCCTACTCAGAATAGTAAAGACTTCAGGTAAAGTACAAACTACAATGTCTAGTATTACAAATGCAACAGTTTAGATGGATGTTTGTTAGAAGACATATTCAGAAATGATAGAACATTGCCTTGAATCACACATAGGCACATAATACTTTTTTATATTTCCACGTACTATGTCGCTGGCAACTGTTATCTTTCTAATCTTACTTCTTACTAATATTATAAATGCCAAAGTTTAGATGGATGGATGGATGGATGGATGTTTGTTAGAGTTTGTAGCCTAAACGGCTGAACGGATCTCGATGAAATTTGGCGTATACGTAGGGGGTAGTCTGGAAGATCATATAGGCTAACAACTTTTTTTGAACTCCACTCGAACAATGTCGCGGCCGAAAGCTAGTTATTGAATAAAGTTTATCTTTGCTCCTATATTTTTTAAATATATTTCATTAAGGATTTAATAAAATAAAAAAACACAGTTACAGTTAAAGTTTGTTATTTGAACAATTTCTCAAAGCATAGATAAAAAAGTAACGTATGGTAGTAAAAAGATCCAATCGCTTCTTTGAACACGTTTACTACAGACATCTTGTATCGGCAATTTATACCGCAAAAGCAATCGTAGTAAATGCGAAAACAATTTGTACCGCAATCTATGTGGTGTCACGTCGAGAATGTTGCTCAAATGATTACTGTATTATTTTGGCCTACATAGTAAAGGAATTTGCATAATCTTTGATACATATGTGAATGTAGAATTCACGCAAATACTTCGAAATAAAACAAAACACGATAAGCTCTTAGACTTGTCTGATGTAGATGTATGAATTTATTATTCCATTTTACTTATTATTTCCGACAAGATCTTAAAAGTATCGTTGTTATCACCTTATACAAAATAATTGTCAGGTGTTCGTAAGTCTTTTAAAAGACTACTATTAACAATTTTGTCACAATCTGTTTTGTTACAGGAACCCTTCGTTAGGTGTTGGAGAAGAGATGAGCCTGCGTCAATTCGGATCTCCCAGTGAATTATTGACTAAACTGCGAGCTGATCTTAGGCTTTCCTTTCCCAGGTTTGTAACAATTTAGTTTATTAATTAACACTAAAACAAACACTACAAATACATGAAAACTTTATCAACTACTGATTCAGCAAATATTGTCTTCTTTGGGTTTTAAATTAATAATAATCTCTTTTCAGTTTTGTACAAGAGTTCGCATGTGATCCGCTAGACGGAGTCTCCTTGCTGTTAGAACTGCTACGCAACGTGCAACTCAGCCAGACTGGCGAAGGCGCCAGAGGACCTCCAGCTGTGAGGCGAAGACCACTGTTAGATGAACTCGCTTGCCTGTTAGTATAACCATTACGTGATCATTGCTAACTTCGATAGGCACTCAGAAATACAGATCATTTTTCTACTGTATTTTCAGTAATGTTAAAGCACAATCGTTGAAGATTTCGTTTAGATCTCTTGCATCTCTTGCAATATGAGCCCAGGATCCTACTCAAAAGTATTGTCTTTAGCCATCTCCACAACTAAACTCAAAGGTTGACTGTGCGATTAATCAATTAGTCTACGTAGTCTTTTCTAGAAAGTTACCTAATACTTGAAGCACCATTTCTAAGTTAATCTCATCATTGTTGCTTTTAACACGTCCAATAATCGATTCATCTGGCTACTACTAAAACTTTTTTTCATTACAGGCAATGTCTTTGGAGCTGTTGCACGAGATATGCAGACTGCGTGCGGCGACTGGTGGCCGGCTCTAACGGAGTATACGCACTCACCGTCTGCATAATGTCAACCGTTAACAAGACAAGAGTACTAGCTTTGCAGGTAATGACTAGAATGTTGCTGTTGGGTATTACGAGCTTCATCCCTTAATTCCCTTCGGCTTCATCCAAAACCTTATTTTATTGTTCACATTTGTGTGTCGAAATTCAAATGCCAACGAAGCCAAAATGACAACGAAGGGCAACATTGCTTCCTTGTTGTCAGCTTGTAGTTTTTGGTCCATTTCCCACATTTTTTTAATTTACTTTAGTTTAATAGCTTGAAAATATATAGGCTAAAGCGTGTCGGTAGAGCGTTTTATAAAGAAAGAATTATTCTAAAACATGCTGTGATTGCTGACATCCTACGCCATAAAGTAGTGTGTGTTTACGTTTATATTATAGAAGTATTGATCAGAAAGAAGCTATTTATAATATCTTTATAATTCCCAGCTCCTCACCAAGGGCTGCTATCCACCAGCTAATGGCCACAGCATGATATCAGAGGCATTATCCACCTTGCGTCTTCGCTATGGGGAGCCTGTCCGCTTCAGGTTCCTGGTAGGGATGCTGCAGAGTGCTGGAGGCTGTGGGGATCTGCAGGCGGCAGGATTAGCATTCATTAATGCGTTATTATCGAGTGCTCCCACACCGCAGAGGAAGCTGTACATACAAGCTGAACTGGAACAAGCTGGATTTGATATCGTGACATTAAAGAAGGTAGTGGAATAAAATGTTTGTATTTTGGACTTAGAGAATTGCGAGTTGCAAATTTTGAATTTGTTTTATTTCAGATAATTTCTAAACTTCCAAACACAAATGAGAATGTTGTTAAGGAGATTGAGAATTACGAAAAACAATTAATAGATATAGATACTTTAAGTGAAAAAGCAAACGAAGCTCAAAAAGAAAAGGATGACCTCAAACATAAATTAGAGTTACTTGAGAAACGCGTGAAGGTAAAACTAAATTTTATTTATAAACACAAACAATCTTTGATCCATATTCTTCCCATGATAGTTGGAGACATTTTTTTATTTACTAGCTTTCGCCCGCGACTTTGTCCGCGTGGAGTTAAAAAAAAACAAAAACTAGTAGCCTGTAACAAACATCCATCCATCTAAATTTTCGTACTTACTTCCGTAAGAAGTAAGATAGTATTTTCTTTTTAATTCCAGATTCTACAAGAAGAGAAAGGAATCCTTTTGTCCTTGGAGAAGTGCCTGAAAGAAAAATGTTGTGAACTACAAGAAGAAGTCACAACCTTAAGAACTGAACATGGAAATTCAAATCGTAAGAAGACATTTGTTATTAAAAAAAAGAATGCCGCACACAAAAAGAGAGGTAATTTTCGATCGATACTTTGTGTAATTTCACAACGAAAATATCTGATCTATTACTTTCAAATTAGAAAGACTAATTCAAAATGAGATCTATATGTACACTTTCTGACTATATAAACAACTAGCTGTTGCTGGCGACTTTGCCCACGTGAAATTAAAAATGCCTATGTTACTTAGTAATGACATAGCTTTTATTGGTGTAAGAATTTTCAAAATCGGTTTGAGTTATTTCAATATATACAAAAATAAAAATCAGTCCTCTGTAATACATTAGTATAGATTTTATTTTCTTTTATAGATGAGTCATCACCTCCAGAAGATGAAGGCATCAGTTCTTCAGAAAGATCTCTGAGTCCCGAAGCCGACCCTCAACGAGACGCCATGGTTTACGAAATGTTTAACGTTAAGAACGAAACTTATTACGACGTACTCCGAAATAAAAGACAAACTAAGAAGCCAGATACCAAGAAACTTGATAACAAAAAATCCTCAGACGAAGATGAAGAAACTACCATAGATGAAGTAATTCAAGAACTTCGAAATATTGTTAACCACGCTGAATCGGAACAGTATGCAAAATCAGATCAAGCAATGTTTGAAAACCAATCTTTAAGATGTCAAGATAATATAGACAGTAACATTTCCATTAGTAGTGAAGTTAAAAATCATAGTACGCTAGAAAAGACAGATTCGATTACAAGCACAAGACACAGTATTCAAATAACAAGTAGCACGGAGTACCTCAATGAAAATGAAGAGGAAAAAACACGATCTGTTCAAAGTAAAATCTTCCCATATCCTAATAAGAAACCGAACAGTTTATCGCATTTATTTGTTCCACAGACAGATCAAGGAATCCTTTTCAATAGACATTCAGATATGTTTGAAGATTACTTTTCCAGTGATGATGGATCCGACTCATTATTAAGTGCATCACATTGTTTAAACATCATTGATAAAAAGTCGTCAGTAACAAGCTTCGATTTTAAAGAATGTCAAGCAATTTTTAATACAATGGCTGAAAGAGAAAACGAAGAGAGAAATCGTTTATCCAGAACACGTTCGAAGGAGAGCACAAAACCTGTGAAACGAAGTGAATCATTTCAAACTACAGAAAAAGGTTCTCGTCAACGTGAATATATTGACAGTATGTTCTATAATGAGAATAAACCTTCATCGGACCACGCATCTTTACAACGAACAAATTCGAAATGTAGTAGAGTAGACGAAATTGTTAATCTTATAGAATCGAAGAAACTTACCAAAAGTCTTGATAGAATTGATGAGGGTTTAAACACGATGGTCGATATTGTAGTGATGAAAGGACCGCTCAGCCCTTCTAAGCCTTACGAAAGACGACAGAGAACATGTTCAGGTACAAACAGCGACAATGATACGCCGTTCTTTCCTCTGATGCGATCTAATAGTAAAAATAGTCTTACTTATAAATCCAGTCAAAAAGGAAACGATTTAATTTCCAAAGCTGATCAAACATTTGGATTACCTTCTAAAAGCCAGGGAAGTTTTAAAAACAATCATTCGTCTAATTTTAGTAACACATTTATTGTGAAGCGCGGACATAGTAATGCTGGTTTCTATACTGGACAGAACATGTTACGTGACGCTCCTGCAAGTATGACAAGTCTTGTAATGAACGGAACGCACTCTTTTGCAGACTTCAAATGCACACTTCCATCTGTAGGTGCAACAAGCGACTATGGAGTTCACAAACTAACTGATATGCCATCGGGTCTATATTAATTTTCAACTATTATATTATTTATAATTTAATCAAAACCAACGACTAAATTAAGATCTTCGTACTTAAATACTTTGAATAGTGCAATATTATATTTGTTAGTTTACTTAAATTAAATTCACTGTTCACTTTGGTATCTTAGTAATTTTGTTAATACGCAAAATTCGCTTAAGATCGTATTCTTTACACTCACCTGAACTGTGAAGTATTTGTCTCCTGTATTGTAACGAACTTATTTAAATTGTCCTGTATATCTATGTAGGGCATTACCTTAAAACTTTACTTTAAATAAATATTATTATAATTTACTTGGTTTGTTTCATTTTTATCTTTATACCATAAGGAATCTAATTTTTGGCTCGCAAAAATAATACCACGACCACATAGAATGCAGGCGTCAAGTTGAAGCAATTCCACGTTTCGTCTGTTTGAGGCCTAAATTTAATTCCCATCACCTTATAAAGAAGAGATGTCAAGAGTTGTTTTTATGATGTAGGAGACGCTTAGGGAGAGGAAATATTGACTTCCTTTGCGTCCCATTTATCCATTAAAATAGGCACAAGGTCTACAATAGCGGATGTCACTTCGCTATTTTGACGAATATACTCGCTTATTTATACCTCATAATATAAAACAAATATATAATATAAGTAAAGTTCTATTCAGTCACACCTGTTTAGATTTTACACTCCATTTTCGCAATCAATCTCAATTAGAAAAGGATAAGGTGGAACAGTATTTACCTCAGGCACATACTCGTCAGGCAACTACGTAATCACTTTAAAAATCAATCCACTTCAAGACTTGTCTTTGTTGTCATAATTAGCCATCAATGCCATTGCTAGGAAACTGGCGGTGTTCACCATTAAAACCTGTAATAGTTTGAACATTTTGAAACGACAATCCTAACAAAAACTCGGCGAATAAAAAATAGGCGAAGTCTGGTCGCAATGAACAAGGCAATTTTTCCTTTTTGACCGACTTCCCAAAAGAAGGAGGTACTCAATTCGTCTGTATGTTTTTTTTTATATGAGAAAGGGAAAACGAGCGGCGGGAACATAGAGGTGGTCAACGACGTATGGACATTCGCAACATCAGAGGTACTACAGATACGTGGCGCCCGCCTTTGAGGAATTTGTGGTCTCGCTTCTTGAAGGCTTAGTTTCCACCTTCAGTATAACACCGAGGAAACCGCAGCTGTACATCGGTGACATGCTGATGCTGTCTTACAATAGTATGTCGATCGGTCAATCTTGTTTTCTCATAATATAACTAATTCATCATCACATCAGTAACATTGTGTAGTTTATTTGTAAATAAAAACTATTGATTATAAACTGTAGGAGAAACAATACACAATATTGTGTTACTGTTAATAAGGAATCTGTTTGTCCGCGTGTATATTTCATTGTATAATAATTTATTAATTGCATGTTATCAATTTAAGTTTTAACATTAACTATCTAACTAATATTATAATGTGAAAGTTTAATTTTATGGATGCTTGAGAGAGTTTGCAGCCTAAACGGATCTCGATGAAATTTGGCGTAGACGTAGAGGATAGTCTGGAAAAACACATAGGCTACTATTTTTTTTATATGTTGCGCATAAGGAATCGCCGGCGCAAGCTAGCAACATTAAGAGATTAAAAAGTAAACAAGACAAATACAGAGAATGTGATGTCAAATCATATGCAAAGTAAAAATTAAACCAACGACAGCGAGTAAACCCGCATAATAAACTTATAGTTGTTGTTGCATTGATGCGACCTCTAAACAATAAACTTCAATACAACACGAGCCGTCCGCGACCATTCAGCAATAGTATCGGGATGGGGAAGCATTTGAGATATCTCGTTACCTTACTGGTAAAAATTCTACTTTTTCAGGAGGGTAAATTTGATAACAAGCATATGGATGAAGAACTATCTATTATAGATGTGTTTGATCTGACCACTCCAACCACTTGGAAGGATCTTATGGATTACTATGGTGCTATTGAGAAACATTGGTGAGAACGATTCTTGAAAATCTATCTTATTTGCCATCTTCCTTCACTGTAGCAGAAACAACACATTCAATGCTACTTCTATTTTTAAAGTGTGTTCTCTCAAATGACTCGAATTCATTAGAAGTGTTTAGTATGCCTGCAAAGGGCGGTTTCTAGTGCCACCTTACAACGAAAGAATAACACCAAGCAATCAGATATAACTAAAGTGTGCTTATTTGATCAGTTATGCTTTGTTTTTAGGAGAATATGCGTCAACTGCGGCATCCCTACATTAGGCACGGCCATACACCTGGAGCACGCGGGCACTACAGGGTCCATGCAACCGGCCGTCATACCAACAGAATATCTACTCACACGATGTATGTTACACATGTCTGTCACTTATACCAGTTAAAAATACAACTTTAAACAAGGCATTTGGTACATTCGTTACTAAAGGATTTGTGCAACTATCAGTTCGTCCAAAGATATTAAAGAAATATACAGAGGAGATATAGTTGAGACAGTTTTCATCATTGCGAATAAGTGTGATTAAAACTTATATAGTACCATTCAAAAAAGTACTGATGAAAAAAATGTTTACTATGCCTCGTTTTTTTTTTTAAAGGTCAACTTTTCGTTATTCAATTAAATAACACTTACCGTAAGTTTACGTTTTCACAGTAGAGATAGTGGACTTAACGTCACACATCAAGTCGCAGCAGGCGGCAGTCATAACTCTGGATATGGCATTGCAGTGGTCAGCTCTCAAACACGACCCGAGGGAACCTACACTCATACTGTTCAAGTTCGGCTGGAAGCGATCCATCACTTACAAGAGACGATGCGTTTGTAAAATACCCGGTGAGTTGTCAAAAAAGTAAAATTGAGATATCTAGATTCACAAGACTGCATTCCGTGTATTCATTACATCCATGCCGGAGGCCTTATTTTAGTCCATATCCCTTGCCAATATTTTCTTATAAGGAAAGGCTGGGCAATGAAAGTGGATTTGGCGCTAAGGGGAAGATATCCCCTTTAAATGCGTCAATGGGTAGGTAACGCATCTACATTTGCGGGTGTCTATAAGCAGCGGTCGCTTTTCGATGAATTTAGATAGCCGCTTGCTCGTTTATCACCTTGTGATATAAATAAAATCAATGTATCTCGATCGAGATTAAGTACAACACTCGTTTCAGGTCTAAGTTACGAGTTAGCGGAGTGGATAGCGGCCAACATGAGCCACGTGGTGGGGGTCGCGACTGACGCTCCCTC